GATGGTGGCCAGCCTCATCTTCATCGTCCTGCTCCGCTTCCTGGCGGGGATCATGGTCTGGGTGATGATCGTGATGGTGATCCTGGTGCTGGGCTACGGTGAGCGAGCGGTTGGGACCTTCTCCCGGCCTCCCCCCTTCTCCTCCCCCTCTCGTAAGTGGGCTTTGCACGAAGAACGTTGACGCGGCGGCCTCCCAGGTGCCTTCTGCCTCGCCGTGGTCGGCGTCGGAGGGGTTGGGCAGAGCCTGCCGACGTCTCGGCCTCCGCTCTGCGGGGCAAACGTGACGACTCTCTGCTTGTCGCCGCAGGGATCTTCCACTGTTACATGGAATACGCAAAACTCAAAGGGGAAGCGGGTTCTGACGTCTCCCTGAAGGACCTGGGCTTCCAGACAGACCTCCGTGTCTACCTCCACCTGCGGCAGACGTGGCTGGCGTTCAGTGAGTCTCCATCCTCCCGCATGCCGGCGGGACGGGGCAGACGGTGCTGGGGAGGGGGACGGCGTGGAGGTCTGGGGTCTTCTCAGTGCCTTCGTGGCCTTTGTGAAGGGTTGGGTCAAGGAGGGCGGCTTTGCTTGGTGCCACGGGGCTGAGCTCACGGACAAGGCTGCTCTTCCACGGGAACCGCGGTGCCGGACGTCCCCCGGGGAGCGTTCGGTGCCGCGAGGGAAAGGCGGGTTGTGGCCTTCGGGCACCATCTGCGCCCTCGCGCTACCCGGGACCCCCCTCCTCCTCCCAGTGATCATCCTCTGCATCGTGGAGGTGGTGATCGTGCCCTCCCGTCACCGCGGGGACTTTGACTGGGTTTTAACCACCGTCTCGGCAGGGCTGTTGGTCACATCATGATGTCGCTGCTCTTCCCCTTGTGCACCTTCTTCCTGCTGTGCCTCTGCATCGCCTACTGGGCCAGCACCGCCGTGTATCCTTTCCTCTTCCTCTTCCTCCTCCCGGTGCCTCTGCTCCCTGGGAAGGAAGCTGCTCCGGAATCGAAGGTTCCAGGGCGCTGACCGTCTCGCGGGGTTAGTGACGCACCCAGCTGAAGTTCCAAGCTGGACTTCAAACGAAACCCCACGTAGGAAAGCGATCGCAGGAGGCTGCTGAGGGCAGAACCGAGTTAGGATTCGGCTCCGGGGTTTGCAAAATCTCCTTGACCGTTGCTCGGCAGGTTCCTCTCCACCTCCAACGAGGCGGTCTACAAGGTGTTCAACGAGAGCGCGTGCCCGTTTTCCGGGCAGACCTGCAAACCGGAGGTGAGGACGTCGGGAGCCTCGTGCGAGTGCTGTGCTTAGGCTGCCAGAGGTCAGATCGTGTATGAGCTGAAAAATACCCTGGTGGCTGTTTGAGCCCGCGGGCTCTTCCAAGCGCAGTCCCGCGTTCCTCCACTCGTTTACGTCATGTTGTTATTTTTCTTCATGCTGTCACGTGCACAGAGCTGACTTTTCGGCCTGAGCAAACGCTGCTAGGCAAAAAAACGAAGCAGGATAATGCCTTCGGAAAGCCGAGCTCGCTTCGGGTTGAGCGAAAG